TACGATCAAGCCTTTGCCTTTCCCCGATCATCTGAAGTACCTGAAACAAGAAGTCCACAACTGTAAACCCAAGCTTAGTGAGTTTCCCAAAATACCCAAAACATTGGAAATACAATGGCAATGCATGCATATAGGGTTTGTTGTCCATAGTCTCAACTTAACCCATCAGGGTTTGTAGGTCCACCGTACGAGGTAGGACCTCAACCCAACCATTCGGGCATGTTGGCTTCCCGCCTCAACCCAACCATCCAAATATGTTGACATGTGCAACTAACAATTAATTATATAATCGTCCTACATCAGGGACATAACACAACGAATGAGCCAGCTTTGGTGCCTTCGATCCAAAGGCATAGTGAGAAAACTCACCTCAAACCAAGATGATAACTAAAAAGAACGAAACTTAGTGAGAAAACTCACCTCAAACCAAGATGATAGCTGAAAAGAATGAAACTCTGAATGTGAACTCTACAGATCACTTATACAACAAAAGAAAGGACCATACCTCAAACCATAATCCAAATACCACCCAAATTACCCTAAAAGACCTAAAGTCAAACTTGGTCAAAGTCAACGGTCAACAGTCAAAGTCAAAAAGTCAAAAGTCCACAATAGGATGAGTATGCCTTGTCTGGCGTAGATTCCCATCCCCAATTACGGGGTTCAAACATGGTATGCACTGTATACCTCTAGGTACGCCCTATGTACTCATTCAGATCCTAATTTCCTTATTAAGTGCTTATTCCCTTTAGCCTTACATCCAAATCTCAGATCTAACCCCATATAACCTCCTGAATCATAAAGTTTCTAACTTTATGACTTTGCATGGCTAGAAAGTTTCCAAATCTAAAACCCAAATTTATTACAGGATTCTAATCCCTATAAGTCATGTATGGATGAAAGGAAAGGATCAAGATCATATTTTTATGACTCTATGTACTTCAAAATGTCTGAAAATGCTACTGATAAGCTCTGGAGTAGCTCATACTCAACTAGACCAAGATTATGGGACCAAAATGCACAAAAACCTTAGAAATAACAAGATCTAGTAAAATATTTATCAAGTTCAGAACTTTATACCTTCTGGAGTTTGATAAGGAGATGTAAGCTCCAGATCCAAAAGGCTTGAAACTTCTCAAGTGCTTTCCAAGAGCTTCCTTCCTTCAAAGATGAGCATAAAACACTAAAAAGGCTCAAAACTTCACAAATAGAGATTAGGGTTTGCAAGGCATCATTTGGGAGGATGGAGGCTAAAGGTGGAAGGTTTTACAAGAGTTAAGGTTATTTAAATAGGGCTCAACTATGCCCCGTGTAGTTCATCATTCGTCCTTCTACGCAATGCATAGAGTCAATCTACTCCCTGCGTAGAATTAAAGTTCACAACAAAAATTAACAATTAAAGAGGGGATTTTTACCTGAAATAACCAGGTGTTACACCATTACGGATGACCTTAGCTTGATTAGGTTTCCACCCTACCAACCTCGGGAACATAGCTTATTCATGGTTTTCTAAATGTAACTATTATTTGTGTTGCTTTATTTTTAGCATTCAAATATTGTTTTCTTCCTATTAATGGAGTAGATTTAGAAAAAGGAAATCAAGGATTTTGATAAACATTATTGATTACCTATGTACATTATGTATCCTTAGGTGACAAGAATGTAATTTCGAGCAATAAAGGGAAGGGTTTAATGTATTAGTTGATGCAATAAGAGTAGAAAGGAATGACAGTCTGTTTCTATATAAATAAATATTTTTTAGAAGACTTATATTTGTGAAAATACTTTTTATAAAACTTATAATTGTCTAACAGTATAATTTAATTTAGCACCTATGAATTGTAGCTATAAATACATAAGTTATAGAAGCAAAGAAAAAAACATTTTGAACTAAAACTACGAATACATAAGTTATAGAAGAAAATAAAAGGTTTTGAGGTCACCCAACCCAACTAAAATTATACGTTTTGGTATATAATGTGACATCCTCAATTTCCAGGCCAAAAAAGACCAATTTATTTATCTTCATTTGAAAATCATAGTATATTTTTAAAGAAATATATTGCGGAATTTGTTTTTGATAAATAATTTATCAAAACATTTTCAAATAAATTTATTATATTAAAAACCTCGGGATATCATGGTTAATACAGATCAAAAGCATAAACATAAACGACATAGGCCTTATTATATCTATTTGTTCTAGTGGCTTATAATCCATTGATCTCTCATCATATCATCACTCTTGTGCTCTCTTTCCAGTACTTGCATACGAGAAAACTGGGAGCCTGGTGAGCACATTGGTTTTTCAACCCATCATAGTTAAATTCATTAATTTCATCAAATCAATCAACCCGATTACTTGTTCCCATTATACTCACTTTACGTCCCTAAAGCATCTATTATATGGGACCTAACCTAAGGATTTTCATTGGGATGACAACACTGCTTTGGGGGTTTCTCAAAAATTTATGTCAAATAAGGCAACCATGAGGGGATGGAGTACACCTGGTGAACACATAGTTCAAATAAACACCTACAGGTTGTGAGCCTACCAACGTTCCACTAAACTGTCTAGAATAGTCTGTGGTCGTCATCTATACTCCATTAGATGACTGGATCATCATAAACATCGAGGCCTCTCATCATTTTATTTCATCATTCAACAACTATTTCATCTACCCATGTTTTACCCAACATAATTGTAGATATAAAATACATATATAGTTTAAAACATGTATAAAACGTTCATCCAACATAGATATCGAGAACACAAATAATATGCACACGTAACACATAATTTATATTATGTACTTCATATCTATGTGTAAGATGAAAGTAACTATGCATTCCTTTACTAGCATGATTTGATAGAATCTAACTAGAAACGATCAGCGGTTCGTGATCATCGGGCTTGGGATAAGGAAGGCCTTCAGCAAACGAGAGAAATAAAGAAGGTTTGGTGTAAGGAATGAAAGAGTATAACTTGTTATTTATAGGATGTTTTGGGCCCTCTCACGTCGTGATCCATGACTGTATCATCTCGTAGACTTGCCATTTGCGTTTCTAGCTTCGAAAGGTGTCCGGATGACTTCTCACGTCGTGACTATGATATGCTCACGTCATGAGCTTCCATGAGTCACCCTGTAGTATTCCCAGGTGTTTTCTAACCTCGATTAGTGTCGTGGAGCACTCTCATGTCATGAGAATACATGATCACACCGTGAGCTCTGACAAATTAGGTTTTCTGCCACGTGTCACACTCTTAGACAGCTACATCTTCGGAAGGTCATAACTTTTGCATACGATCTCCGTTTTTGACGTTCTTTATATCCACACGTAGGTGGAGACGTAATCTACAACTTTCATTTACATCATTAAGGCTAAAAAGTAATTTATCATAAACTCACTTTTTATGATTCCTAGTGTCGTGCCAACTTTGTAGTGAAAGTTTGACAAGTCATAACTTCTTCATTATAACTCGGATTTCGGCGTTCTGTATATCTTGAGAATCCTTGTCCCGACCAATAAAACTTTCTTCATAGATATTAGGTTTATCTATTATTTTATTTTTGACACTTATTTTTATTATTTACTTATTACATCTTATAAATAAGTGTAAGGCACATAAAATCATTTAATTCACATAATATTAAAATAATTTCTTTTTATTACTTCAAAGTAGGTTATAATTGTTGACATTAACTATTATATAATTATACTAATACTTAGCATAGAAACATGAACGTTACATATAATTAATTCAAAAGAAAGATTATGAAACAATATCATCAATGATAGATGGTTTTTTAGGTTTATTCGTTCCAAAAACAATGTTGCTATGAATTTTCCACATTGCCCAAATGGTAGTGATTATGACTACATTGATACATTTTCTTTGTTTCAATTTAAATGCACATTATCATACCACTTGATCTACTTATCAATCAACAAGAGCATTGAATGTCCCACCATCTACCAATAAGACATCACATTTCCATAAACCCCCAATAAGATATAAAAAGTGGTCCATCATCTCCACAACTAAGTCACAATGGGACACAATATAAATCCAAATCAATCCTTTTATCCGTAAGGTTACCGCAAGTAGCAATCCAACTTAAGGTAACCCTCGATAATACAATATTCAACTTGATAGGGATATAGTTATTCCATCTCGTTGACACTTCACTAGTAATTGGGGTACCACTATCAACTATCAAGACAAGCTCTAGCGTACGAAACCAGAAACTCCATAGGTGAATCAAGAGACCACGCAAATCGATCCTTATGTTAGTAAACAAAAATTTCTTCAATAGCATATCCAACTCAGCTTATTGAGTTTCCTCACCCCACACTACTAGAAAAAATAGCCTTTTACAATGTACAATTAATGACACACACTGATAGAGGACGCGCATTTGTGCATGCCCTAAAAATTAATGTCAGTTTTCCAAAATTTGAAGGATAGAGGACACACATATTTGTGTGCCCTAAAATTAGTGTTAGAAAAGAAAAACAAAAGATATACGGAGAGCACCTATCAAAAAATGTGTGTCGTGTAATTGTGTCACTTAATTTTTTTAAGGAAACATGCGTTTTTAGGGGGATAAATCCAAAAGATTAACCCCCACCTATTCCTATTCATCCCAAAAATTCCCCGCCGCTTCGATTTAGGGCCTTCGTCTTCATCCACAGCTTCCTCAATTCCTCGATCTATCACCTCCACCAAAAACCTAATTCTCGGTTCCAACAAGTTCTTACAATCTTAATTCGACCCTAATAAGATGAGGATTTAGGGTTCTTACCTCCCAGTTATCAATTTGAGTCGATGATTTAGGGTTCCTAAATTCGACCCTAATTTTTTCTATCTCAATCTCATATTTCCATCTCATCATGTAAGGGGCGACGAACACACGATTTCTTTGCATATTTTGGTCTTCACTAAGATCTGGTTTCCATGTAAGCTTTATGTTTCAAGCCCAAACCATCCTTACACGATGTCATCAACTTTTCTTACTTACGCATCTACACTCATTGGTTCTTTGTCTAGAAGCACCACTCCCGAACCTCAAATCGTGGCTAGGTTAACTAACCCTCGCATTCCTGCTGCCGGAGGTAGGGTTAACTCTGCTCCATCTGAACATTCCGACCTAGCAGCAGGCATGATTCTATCAGTAGATGGTCTGATAAATCAAGAAAACGAGATTGATGAGCAGAACACCCATATCAAACATCCATACTTGACCAACAAAGGTTTTTATCAATTTTAATGCTAGGGTACATCTATCTTCTCATCTTCTCATCTTTTACATATCACTTTTAAGCCTAATACTTTCAGTTTCTAGATTACATATGCAGAGGAGCTGTAGGCAGCAACCTAGTATCATGCTGTAACGCCTAATTATGAGTCTTAGTGATAAATCAAGGATGTGAGATAGTCATCCATACACGAATGGATCTTAGTTTCAAATGACTGGGTAAGGTGTAAATTATATAAAAAGAATAAGATGTTCGATTCACCCTTCTCCAAATTCTTCTCTCTAATATCTATATAACTAAGTCACATACCATTATCTTAGAATCATGAGTAAGGTGTTTGACTGAAACTTTGGATGAGATGGTATCAAGTGGTATTCTTGGTCCTGAGCTTTCTATTCAAGTTCTTGTTAAGTTTGATAAGGTCTCTTAACTCTTCAGAGCTTCTTCTTATTCTTCTTCTTTTTTAACTATATGTTAATTCAGTGTGAATGTAGTATGTGTTTTAATGATTATTTAATATGTGAGATCTCATTATCTCTTCATGTTTCATTGATTGTAGTTAATGGCTGAAGCTCTGGACAATCAGGTTAAGACCAAGGTCTTTATTAAAGTAAATAATTTTCATCTCTTTAATTCTAGTGTGGAGAGAAAATGTCCATTATACTCTTTACATTCAAGTTAACAAATTTCATAATATCCTCAATCTAAACATGAGATAAGTTACATAAGGTAAAGAGTTAATGTCTTGATACATTCAGTTTTAGGCTTTGGCTTAAGCATGTAAGAGTTAAATGATGATTATACCCTTGGTGTATGGATGCTGATGATTTGATTTATATAATGATAGGGGAATTTGCACATGTACAAATTCTATGACAATGTGTGGACATTCATTCTTCTAGGTTCTGTATTTTCATACTTCCTTTCTCAAAGTATATCTATTGTTTTTTTTTTCATATACCATTAATACGTTTTGGATTCAGTTGTTTATTGTTATTATTTTGCATTTTCCTTCAGGTCCTTCGGATCATACAACCTGTGTGGTGATGAAATGTAGACGCTACCTTAACACCAATTTAGAGTTTTTTGGAGAAAGAAAATGAGAAAGATGCATCTGTGAAGGGAAAATCTCGTTTGGGAATTGTAAGTGTTTTTGCTTAAATACGATTTGATTGTTTTGCTTGAGTTAACATGTTTATTGTGAATGTTATACCAGATTGTTCATCAGAAAGCTGCAACAGCTATGTGCTTGACTACAGTCAAGAATGAAGATAAGATGGAGTTCAGCAGAATCTTGGAAGCCATCAAGGTATTTGTTTTTTTTATAAAATTTATTTATTTAAAGATTTTATGGAAAATTTTATGTTTGATTCTGATATGATGAATGAATTTATGTTGTTTGTTTCAGGAAAATTTCAATGATAAGTATAATGAGTACAGAAAGAAGTGGGGTGGTGGGATAATGGGGTCAAAATCACAGGCTAAAACCAAAGCAAAAGAGAGGGTTCTTGTTAAGGAGGCTGCTCAGAGATTGACATAAATACCCTTCATTATCTTGGAAGCTTTGTGTTTAGTACCTCTTAAGTTATATATTTTCAAAGGTAAGATACATGAGTTTGATTATGTGACAATTTTATTCAATATTGGCTGGTTTTGTTGGTATGGAGAGGGGTATTTCTATCTTTAATGAATCCATATCATATGATGCAAATTATTAGGTTGATATTTTTTTATTTTTTTTATGTTATAAAATTTCACTTATAATGGATCCATACCATTGGTGTAGTATGTAAATTATTTATTAACAAATAAACAAATCAATATGAAAACCTCTCAAATATAAGTAAAATTTTGGTTGATATTTGTTTGTTTTTTTCTTGTTTTCAGGGAGTGGGTTAGCTGGAATGTTGGTTGGCCTTTTGTTTTTTTGTTAATCGTTACTAAAAGGAAAAAAAATCAAATTTTAATTTTGATTTATTTGATGTCTCGTGTCTTGTAGGTTCATGGTGGGAAAAGGGGAAAACAAACATAGACAAATTCCCTTTGATTAAAATCATTTTTAATTTGATGTGAAATAGGTTGCTTTGGCAAAACAGAGAGTTGATGAGTACTTATATACTCAGATGATGCAGGAAACTGGTGGTCAACAGTCCATGTAAGTTTCTTTATTTGTAACATCTTATATTCAAGAAATAGCAATGTACTTTCCATAAAAAAAATATAAGCTATATTCTTTGAAAATTTTGCTAGATTGGTAGGTTTAAAAGTAGAATGTCCTAATAAGAATTAATTTTAAAAGTAGAATGAAAATGAGAAGTGATTTTGTGTTGTGTTTACAGGGTTGATGAAAGCAAATAGCTCTGGAGATAGAAGAGGAAAAGAAAGCTCAAGCTGAAAGAGATAAGATGCTGCAAATGCAAGTGTTGCATTCTTCATTTCAATTGTTAGTATGAAACACAGAGTAGATTAGATGAATGCAAATTTATATATTGTAAGAAATAGAATTGTATGACATTAAATTTTATGCAATGGATTGTATTTTTTGTATATGGTATTTTATTTCTATTATGAGACATTAAATGCAAACTTAATTTAAAAATTAGTAAATATATAAATAGATTTGTTAAACATTTAGATTTACAATACGCAAAAATGTGTGTCATCTTCATTTATGACATGACATTTCTTGACAGGGGTTTTAATGATACGCATTGCGTGTCATAAATGTGCATTGTAAATGTGCGTTGTCTCTCGTTATGACATGGCCTTCCTTGACGTGCATTTGCGCGTCGTCTGAACGTCTTACGACACACATTGTGCGTCATAAAATATTGTTTTTCTAGTAGTGCCAGCATGCGACAACTTACACAAAATCCAAAGCTGAGAACCCAAACTAATCTGATTGGCGACAATAATATCTTGCTTTACCTGTAAACCGAAACTCTTGAGAATTTTTGCTCAAGCGGAGATGAACCAATAAAAATATCAAACCAAAATTTGGTGTGTTTACCATTTCCACTTGAATATATGTAATTATAAATAATTTGATCTACTTTAATAGATGTAAGACTAATCTTCATAAATGATCCATGTGGTTCGGAATATCAATATTACATGAATTAAAAAAATATGACTTATTTACCCTTTTTACACAACACTTAAGGATTTACACACGGTTGCACGAAATCAAACCATGATCAATAGAGTCGTCGAAGTTGGCACACTCCGACATGATATAAAGTGAAGATCGATAGAGTCATGTGCCGAACAGGCACACAAGTTCGAGGCGTCTCGGGTTTCGTCCTATGTATCACTACCACGGATACTTGGACCGGTAGAGTCGACGCGGAACTATAGAGAGGTCTAAGTGTTTCCGAATAGAGTATCTTTTCATGAACGGATTTTCACAAGGCATTTCTATAATTGCCTCACATATACTAGTCACGTATATTTAAGGTGGGGAGAACTGTTGACTGAGCGACCCCGCCCTAAATCCACAACCAAACGAGGAACAGGAGATGAGGCGGCATTCGCTCACTCTAGGTCTGTCCATCTTAAATATACATGGCCGTAACGTATATGTTTAGCCACTATAGTTTTACCTAATGAATTTTAAATTTTATAACAGTGCTGCGACTTTCGCCTTACTGGAAAGAATTTGCATTTGAATTAGTCTTTTATTGTTCTTAGTTCAGTTATCCGAGGTCGAGAGACGTACCAAAATCTAATGAGTTCCTTGCCGCTTCTCCCTAAGCAGTAGTGTCAAGTTTCTTCTATGTCTTTGTCTTTCCCTTCGGTTGGGCAGTCCTTCTTGAAGTATCCAAACTCACCACATAGGCGGCAAACCTGTGTGGTTGCCGCATTGGCGATTGATGCAATACGTTCCACCGGAGTTCTGCATACACGAGCAGTATGCCCCTTCATGTGGCACCTAGCACAATAGAGTTCCCGGCAGGCACCATGATGATGGTAGTTGCACTTGCTGCAGTGGGGAAGGTCTCCTAGATACGGTCTTCTTGGTGTCGGGAGGGAAGGTTTGACAGGGGTACAGACTGCCTCAGCTCATTGTCCTTCGGAAGGTCCTTGAGCCGAGGTACTTCCCTCCTCTATCTTGAGTTTTCTCTTTAGTGGGTTCGGTTGAGGTTCTTGGGTGGTTGAGTATGGAAGTGTGGGTTGGTGTTGTCCATTGTCAGGATTGGAATTTCCAACGGGCACCTTGCTAACATTGGCGTTGTTAGCATTTAGGTGAGCCATGACAGCTGCTACGGCTGTGGAGACTGCAGCTTGGAACGTAGCTTCATCAAATAAGAGAGTAGGTTTCTTGCTTGTGGATTGGTTACGCTTCTTCGGTGGCATGGTTTTCCTACACGGAAAGGAATACAAGGTAATGAGAGATGATGGTTAACCCTGGACATTTTTGTCCTAATCGCATTAGGCATAAATTTTTCCCGTGCCTCGGGTATTGTTTGTCTGAGTGTCGACCTACATCCCTATGATGTAGTCCTGGTAATCGAAGTGGGTGTATGAATATCATAAAAAGGGCCATAAGATGCGAGTCGTTCCTACTAAGTTACCTTTATACTGAGAAAGGTTTCACTCTCCGGTCTGGAGAGATTTGAGAACAGTTCGGAACGAAGCTGCGGAAAGAGAGGCTCATGAGGGCTTATGGCTAAATAACCTCACAGAGGTGTGGGGATCCGCTCTAAGCGCATTACTGGCAACGGGAACAAGGCGATTTACCTAAGACATAGCGTGAGCAGTGTAACCACTAACTTACTAAATTGTATTATTTATGGGTGTGTTAGCGTGACGAACACGAGGAAAAGCCAATTTCCAGGTCCCATGTCCTGGCTCTCTCGGTCTGCCTCGTATCTTTGACTGGAATCGGCATTGGTTTCCTTCGGGTAGTTTCCTAGGATTCTCTTCTAGTATGGACATATTGAATTTCTACTCCGCCTTTCTTCTAATTCCAACTATGGGTGTCATCACTTCATGATAGATGACTGGGAATCTCAAAAGTTTAGGCGAATTCCCCACCGATGTCCCTAAAAGAATATGGGCACTTGGTGCTGTTGGATTAGTGTCTAAGTCCATAACTGTTTTGGTATGTACTTGACCCGATTATGAGCATGGTCCTTTTGGGTTGCCTTCACCATAGCAATATGTAGGATAATTTAAGAAGAGAAAGGTTTAAATATGATTTATTAATATATATGAGAATAATATATTAAAGGAGAAATCATATTGTTTAATTAATATTGGTCAAGAATTAATTAAGAATTAATTTTGTGGCTAAAAGAGATTAATTAAATTTAAGGGACTGAAGTTGTAATTATAAGATAATTATAATTGGGCTATGGATCACCTAATAATATATAGGTTGAACGAATTCTATGGGAAGCCCATTAGAAATCGTCCAAGGGATATGTTTAAGGAGTCCATGGGCTGCTTAGGGCCTAAGCAGTCAGATTAGGGTTTCCTAGTTGTAAACCCTAATAGCCTACATGTATAAAAGGGACCCTTAAGCCCCAAAAACGTGGACAACACTTCCATTAGGGTTTCCAGCCGTTTTTGGTGCCTCCTTTTCTTCTCCTCTTCATCCAAGTTGCATATGGTGTTTGTGACTCCATTAGAGGTACTACACTTGTGGTACTTGCTTTCAAGAGCTAAGGAAATTCAAGGAACTAGTTGTTATTGCTATATAACAACAAAAGGTATGTATTCTAGCTTTATATATGAATTTCGAAAATTATAGTAGCATGCCAGGTTTCTTTTTGTGTTCATAAAGTTGTATAACTAATAGTGAAAACATAGATCCAATACTAGGGTTGCATGCACACATAGGATTGTTTGTATAAACCATCAGTGGTATCAGAGCCATTGGTTTTTGTTTTCAATTAGCTTTTATTCAAATTTGTGAACTTGACATATTAGGGTTTATGGCTAATAAACCCTAAAGGCTAGGTAATTTTCGCAATTAGGGTTGCAAAACCCTAGATGGCGATTTTTGCTAGGGTTTCCCAAATCCTTTCCTTAGCCTCCAAGATTTTGAAATCTAGGGTTATCCAACCCTTGGATTTCGAAATTACCTCCTTCCCAAGGTTAGATCCTAAATTTTAGGGATTTGGATAATCCCATATCTTGTAATTATCTTTTAATTGTTAAATATGGTAATTAAAGATCTTGAATTATCCCATCCCTTATTTTCGAGATTTAGAGAGGGATTCAAGGGATTAGGATATCTTAGATGTATAATTGGTAATTATCCTCATGATCTAGATAATCCCTTGTGATTTAATAATTTAAATTAATTGTTTAATTTATGGTAATTATTAAATCAAGAGTTTTAATATTTAAAATTTTAATTTAAATGTCTTAAATTCGAAAATTTTAAGTGAGATTAAAACCTAATTGTTTTGAAGAGTTTCAAAACTTGCCCTCAAGTTTTGGAATTTAAATTGTTGATTAAAAGTTAATTTTGAAAGTCTAAATTCCAAAACCCTGATTTTGAAAAGTTCAAATTAAACCCTTATGGTTTTATTAAATTAATTAAGTGTATAATTAAAAGAGATTTAATAAATCCATAATGATTTTGGTTAATT